ATGTTGGATCCATAATTAACGACCTTTGTTGATGCATGACATTTTTCGTTTGATTCAGTCAAACAAGCTCACTCCAATGCGTCCACTGTTGGCCAATCAGCGTGCATGCGAGAAACGTGTGAACGTCCAATCTGTTGCCGCCTTTGCTTGCGGCAGCCTAACGGCTTCCTTGCTGGGCTGGCACCGCACGTTCGTTCGAGTGTATACTCCCATCACATCCTCCCTTTTTTCATGTTCTTGCTGCTGTACTTTGCTAAATAGTCCACACACTTTACCACTTCGCGTCCTCTTTGTTGGATCTGCCGATGTCGCCTCATTTCCGCACGCAGTATAACGCTCTCTCCCTGATTCATGCTGTCGCCTCGGACATCTCCTCAGCTGTACTCGGTTTCTTCTCAGCTTCTTCCCTCCAACTTTTACCTCGTATGACCTTTCACGACTTTCGCAGCCACGACTCCTTTTCTCCACCGCTCCTGTCCATCGGGAATTGGTTCAAACCATACTTCTTCCCCCACTGTCAGCTCAGGTAATTCCCGTGCGCCGTTGTCGTAGTACCGTTTCTGAGTAGCCATTCGCCTTTTCAAATTGTTCTGTACTTTCTCAAATTGTAGCGTGACAGGGCGCAGAAGTGTTGCGAATGCAGGCATCACAGTTCTGGTCCTTCGACTGTATAGGCGCTGCACTGGACTCAGGCCGATATCCGTTGAAGGAGTGTTGCGACTCTCCAGTAGCATGAGGTATGGGTCCTCCCGAGTATCTCTAGCCTTCGCTAATAGTCGCTTGGCTTGCTTCACTGCCGACTCTGCCTTCCCATTTGATTGACTGTGATAGGGACTGGTTTGCCGGTGTGCGACTTCCCATTTGGTTGCGAAAACCTGGAATGCCCTGCTGCTGAACTGGGGACCGTTGTCCGAGACTAGCTCCTCCGGTATCCGTGCCGTGCGAATTGACATCTGAGTTTGTTGATTACTGCCTCCGTGGTCGTGGTGGTGAGTAAATCGATTTCAAAGTAATCACTATAGTAGTCCACCGTGAGTAAGTAATCCTTTCCGTTGTCCCAGAATAGATCCACTGCTACCTTTGCCACGGTCGGTCCGGAACATCATGCAGCATCATCGGTTCCTTCGTTTGCCGAATGTCGTGTGAACGGCACGCCTCACAGTTAGACACATGATCCTTGATCTGACCTGTCATTCCTGGCCAGAACATCAGTTCTCTTGCTCGATTAATAGTGTAATTTGCACCCCAGGTGAGCGCGATGGACATGCTCCAGCATCTCCTTTCGGAGAGAAGAAGGGATTAGGATTCGACTTCCCTTGAACAACAGACCGTCACAGACAGTGAGTTCGTCCCGAAAATTGAAGTAGGGTGTTAATTCTTTCGGGAGCTGCTTCTTTGTTTCTGGCCACCCATTGAGGATAACGTCTCGCAAAGCTGCAAATGTTTGGTCTTCTTCCGTGAAACGCCTTATATCTTTCAAACGGTTTTCTGTCACTGCCAGATGCTACACCATGTTAACTGTCTCGATCTCTTCTAGATGATGTTCGGCCACTGGCGGATGTGCTCTCGACCGGGTGTCCGCGATGAACATCTGTGTGCCAGGTGTGTACACAATGTCAATGTCATACTTCTGGAGCCGGATAAGCATACGCTGCAGACGACGAGGAACGTTATTCAGTGGTTTAGTGGCTATCGACACCAGCGGCTTATGATCAGTGTACACGGTTGTCTTTCTTCCAAAAGTATAATCATTGAAACGCTCCATGGCATAGACCACTGCCAGCATCTCTTTCTCGATCTGTGCGTACCGCTTCTCGGTCTCTGTGAGTGCTCGACTGCGGAAATCCAAAGGTCTTCCGTTCTGCAACAGAACAGCACCTATTCCACTCTGGCTACTATCACACTGTACCTCCAATGGTTGTGCTGGATCGTAATATCCGAGTACGGGCGCATTACTGATAAGGTTCTTAATGGTTTCGAAAGCCAAATCCTGTTCCTTCCCCCAGCTCCAATTTACTCCTTTGTGAGTTAACTGCCTAATCGGAGTCATGACATCAGCGAGTCCTGGTAGGAACCGGCTTAAATAGTTCACCATACCGTTTAGGCGATGGACTGCCTTCACATCGTTAGGGGACGGCATCTCTTGTATCGCCTTAATTTTCCCTGGGTCAACTCTGATTCCGTCGGATGTTAACACATGCCCATGGAAAATCACCTCCTCTTTCCGCAGCTCTACTTTCTCGCGTTTTAGCTTGATGTTCTTTTGCACGCAACGCTTCAGGAACCGGTGTAGCTTAGTGTCATGCTCTTCTTCGGTAGAACCGTAAATCAGAACGTCATCTGCCACACAGGTTACGCCATCTAAATCATCTATTGCTTGCACCAAACGCTTTTGGAAAATTTCGCTAGACACCTTCAGGCCAAACGGTAATCGCAGCCAACGATAACGTCCGAACGGTGTAGCAAATGTGGTGAGGAAACTGGATTCGTCGTCTAGAACAACGTACCAGAATGCGGAAGAAAGGTCTACTTTCGTGAAAAACTTAGCTTTTGTCAAACGCGGTAAAACATCTTCTAACGTCGGTAGCGCATAATGTTCTCTACGCAGGGCCTCATTCAGTGGCTTCGGGTCTATACATACGCGTAGTTCGCCATTTTTCTTCGTAATGATTGCGACCTGGCTAACCCAGTCTGTTGGCTCATCAACCTTTGCAATCACCCCTGCATAACCAGCTTGTTCAATTCCGCGGAAAATCGGTCACGTAGCGCAAATGGGACTCTCCTAGCAGGTAACGCAATCGGGCGTGCCAAAGGATCTAACGACAGGTGAGCGGTACCCTCGAATTCCCCCTAAACCCGGGCTAAACACCGACGGATACAGGTCACTAACATCGGCTTCACTCTGACAAGCGTACACAAAAGGATCATGGTTAAAAATGACAAAGCCAAGAGATAAAATCGAATCAATGCCGAGAATCGGCGTGAGATCCTCATCCACGATCACGAACTGCAGACGATGCGAAACACCGTCTCTCAGATTGACCACTTCAATTGTCGCTGAGCCCTTTGGTTTGAGTCTGGAACCATTCCACATGCACAAATAATCTTGATCCGATTGTATTTGCACGCCGCGGCAGTGCTTTCTGGGCAAAATATTGATCGTCGCGCCTGTGTCTAACTGGAATCACACAGACCGTCCTTCGATCAGAAGACTTGCGTAGACACACTTCTGCGACGCTTTCCGAGACACGTTACCAATCGATTGTTCGGTGTCTTCTTTTGATTTGTCTGGAACGAATGCACTGACCTCTGTCGACTGACAGCAGCGGGCGAAGTGATTGCGCTTCCCACATTTGACACAAATGCGGCCCCACGCCGGACACTGTTCGCGGTTCCTCGGATGTCGTGTTGCACAGAAGTTGCAGGGCTCCTGTCGCGCGGTCGTGGCCCTCGTAGTTTTGCTCCTGGAAACGGCGCACAACTCTGAATCACCTGCTATTGTCATCTGCTGGAACTGATAGGCAGTGGAGGACTCACTGTTACAGATGTCGATACATTGCTGCAGAGATAGGTTGCGCTTTCGTAATAGTCGCTTCGTCAAACCTTCGTCATTGATCCCAAGAACAATGCGGTCCCGTATGAGACTGTCCGCCATTTATTTACAGAAACTGCAGGATCGGGCCAAAATCTTTAGCTCAGTTACGTACGTGTCAACGGATTCACCTGGCCGCCTGTTCCGCGAAAAGAAGAGGTAGCGTTGAAATGTCTCGTTTGTTTGGCCTTCGCAGTATTCACTGAACTTCTCAAGAACTGTCTCCAGATTGTTGGCATCTTCGCTCTTGTCGTAACACAATGTCTCTAGCACGCGGCGCGCATCATCTCCTGCTGCGTGTCGAAACATGGCCAAGCGGTACGCCATCGGTTGTTTGTCCAGATGGGATAAAGTGCAGAAATCCATCCATTTGCTCTTCCACAAACGCCAGTTGCTTGCCAAACTGCGTTCATCCATGTTCAGCTTGGCAGGCATTTGAATAGCCGGTGCAGCTCTAATCATCGTCTGGGTGGTACTAATGTTCTTCTCCTTCTCTGACACCATGTGAAAAGTCGGTCCTTCAGGGACAAAACGTATATTCTGCAAACAACAGGACCAGGCGAAAACGGAGACAGAGGGCGAGTGAAACATATCGGTATATACAGCTGGTTGGATCCATAATTAACGACCTTTGTTGATGCATGACATTTTTCCTTTGATTCAGTCAAACAAACTCACTCCAATGCGTCCACTGTTGACCAATCAGCGTGCATGCGAGAAACGTGTGAACGTCCAATCTGTTGCCGCCTTTGCTTGCGGCAGCCTAACGGCTTCCTTGCTGGGCTGGCACCGCACGTTCGTTCGAGTGTATACTCCCATCACAAGTAGTACTGCTGTTTGCCATCTGGCGTTTGACAATGGATCATCTTGTGCCGCAATAAAGTGTGCTGCACGTGAATCCTCCACACTGGCTAGTTAATGTGCTCCATATATTTGCAAACTGGTTACCACATCTTGCGACACAATAGCTGTGGTGTTTTCCACGTGTACAATGTTTTGTTTGTCAACACTGCATGTACTTAAGTGAGAACCCGTTGTGGCCACTTATTGACTTGATAAGAGTGCGTGAAGAAACACCAAAAGGTTAATCCCAGTTGGTTCATTTTTTCTTCTGCCATAATTGTGCATGCATTATATGTATCCATGAACAATTGGTAGTTACTAACACATGCTGCTTCGAAAGTTTTTTCCTCGTCTTTCGACACGTATTCATGATCAACAACACGACACTGTCAGTTTGATGCGTAGTCTCTTAAGCACGTTTTCAATACATTTCCATCGTCTTGACACCCAATTATTGGCTACATATGTGTTTTGCATTTTTTCGGTGTAAATGTATACTTCGATTCTATCCCTACACATGCGATCCAGGAATTCAGATTTTGTCGCGGGAAATGTCACAAAGCCTTCAAAAAGCACAGAAATCCACGCAAGGTTAAGTGGACCAAAATCTCTCGTAAATGTTTGAAGAAAGAGCTCTCCGATGACCTTTCACAGACGTTCGAAAAGAAACGCAATGCTTTGTTCCGTTACGAACGAGACAAGGTCCTTAGAACAGGTAATGATTGATTTGCCTTTAAACAAACGATCCCTTTTAGTGGAGGCCGTACCAAAGATCTTGAGCATCAAACAGAAACGGGAGTCTGCTTTTATCAAAAAGCGGCTCATGACAGGTGTTATACAGCGTAAAGAAGAGGACATTAGACTCGTAAACACTCAAATGTACCTCATCAAGGCTCCCAATGGTTAGTTTCTCGATATGAAGTTTTGATTATTTTATGATTTGCAGCAAAGGAAAGTGTCACAAAAATGGACGAAAGTCGCACGGTTTCCGAATCAGAAGAGACTGCGGACGTTCCTATGGAGAGGTTGGAGAACGAAGTTGCGAAGGAGAGGCAGTCTACAAGGCGCATGAAACTACCCAGAAAAAAGCGTGTGAAACTTTTGTCAAAATCTTAAATCGTTTTTCTCTCTTGTACTGTCTTTATGCTCACGAGTTGACCTGCCTTGTCAATTGGTCTCGGGGTTGTAACCGTCTCTGCTCGTAACGTAGCAGTTTCTTTCCGGATTTACAATATTTGTTGGTGGCCTAAAAGGCGTAGACTGATCGGAGTTGTACAGGAGATTCAACTATATGGAACACGAATACAATCGTAGGAACAGCACATTATTATCTTTCCCTGATATTTAAAATTTACGACGTTTTATTCTGTGATCGAGTTACTTGCGTACAGTCTGGTTGGCGCACACAATTCTTCCTTTGATCGGAACGTTGCGTAAACGATTAGTTAGGGCCTTGTGGGTACGCTGTGTGACTTCCTGACCTTCGCCACAGTCCCGGCGATTCTACACTCTGCACGAGCCCTATGTGGTACTTAGATCTTTGTGATAAATTCGCTCAAAGGTGGGTTGTCCACGTATAGATAAACGCGCATCACATCTTCCGACAGATTTACTGGTCTAATTCATCTCTGTTTACTAAGTACGATTCAACATGTCTATATAAGGGCACTAAGTCACCTTCACACGCATCACCATGCTGTGACAGTGGTAGTAGTAGTAGTAGTATTAATAATACTAACAATCAGCAAAGAAGCAGGGGAAAATAGAAAGCAAGTGATCTATCGGCTCAAGTGTGGGAAAACATTTGACTCATCGAAGGGAAGAGCTGAACGTCAGAGACAAGAGGCTGCATGTAAGAACACTGCTGAACCAGTGAATCTGCCGTGTCTGAAGTGGTTTCTTGTCATTGATATGAACACCCAAGGGGACGACGTACACCTTGCTCCCATTTGGCTAATCGGATTTTTGGTCGTGCCATCCATTGGCCACTTTGGTGTTTCCCCCGGTTGAATCGGTATTGGCGCACAATGAACACTGGAGCAGTCTTTTCGAAGGTATGTTAGGCACATCTACTAACCAGTGAGGATTGTTCGAATTTCTCGGCTATTGTTACACATTTTCCAATTGGACTTTGAGCTACCGAAATAGACGTCCAGTTTGAAAATGTGTATTCCCAAGTATCTATGATCACGCTCTCATCGGTGTTAGCGGCCGAGCAGTTCAAATCCACCGTGGTTAATACATGCAATCAGCACCTGAAACACAAAGCTAAACTCAGGTATCCGTTCACAAATGACCTAGACGCTCTCAAAGCATTTAGACAGGATGAGAATGTGCTACCCTCTAGACCAGACAGGAGCAAGCAACGTACTAATCGAAAAATCTGATTGTCACTAAAATGAATGTCGTCCTCAGTCATTACTCGAAATTACGGAGGATGGGGAAGAGAAAGACGTGATGGTGACAATCGAACCGACAGTTACGAGGCTGTTCCTCTGTCTGAAACATGAGAATGCGATCAACTCTCATAAGGACCGTGATTCCACGACTTGATAGCTTGCCAACTAGGCATAAAGAAGAGCTTCTACCGTGACCCATATTGGACGTGTGTGACTCTTCGTATCACTCGACAGCGAAGAAACTTGCTCATATTTTGGAACTGGTCGAGGTATTGTCAATGCATGGCTTCATAGACTCTGTACAGAATGACCTAACCGGAATGCGGATGTTTTCGCTAGATGTATCACTCTTCACTAGTGTTCTGTTAGAAGAAACGATGGAATACTTTTAAATAAATAAGTAAATAAATTCTTTGTTCTCGTGCAATGCGAGACACGCCTATGTAGGCATGATCATGTTAAAGGTACAACTAATATCTGGGAAGGTATACAAGATGGTGCAAGTTAGCCATTAAGTTCGGATCTGTGAGTTCATACATGTATGTGGGAGTGCATGTGCCTGTCTGTTAAACGAGATTAAATATGTGCCACTGCAATTGCGATTGAGCACGTGGATCGTGTGAGGAGGGTTAGGTGACGTCGATGGTGAGAGTGTGGTTGGTTGGGTACTCATGGGGCAGTGATTTTAGTTAGAGGCGAGTCACATTCGCCTCGTCGCAGCGCTGCTAAACAGACATCAGTGGCTTTTTAGCGAGAGAACACTTGCCAGGCAAAAATCCACCACTTCCTGGAGCACTGTCTCTAAACAGTTGGTACCCCGGGGAAGTCATATTTTCCTTGTCGATTGAGCAGCCTGAGATTGCTGACAAGCCATAAGCGAGTGATTGGACGCCTGACAGGCGGGCCCACAGGTAGGTAGTTATGATTTGCTTCAGGTAAGTTGTGTTAATCATTTGTTTTGAGGGCTTTTTTGCATGTAGGCCATGGCTGATCCAATCCTCTGTATAAGGACATCCAGCTCCAATTGACCAGTGTAAGTGAACCAGAAAGGGAGTGAATGTGTTGGAGGCCTGATATGATCCACTTTTATCTTTGTAGGTTAATCCGGTCACAGGCCAGATGGGCTCCTTGGTAAGTTTCTGTTGACATCTTCAGCCCTCGGGGAAGAGAAAAGGAGAGCAGCAGAGACCACCAAGGAAACCTGTGACATCACGTGGTGTGAATGTAAAAGTCATATATGTTACAACCTGGTGAAAATGATACATGAAAAAGGCAAAAAATATTTGTTATTCTGTGTTCTGCGACCATCTAAAGAATCGATGCGGGCGAAGGTTGCTTAATAACTAAAAGCAGGAATGAGACGATGAGTGAGGACAAAAGGAAGACGATGACAAGCGAAAATAAAATGAAAAACCAAATTTGCCACGGGTGAATCTACTGTAAACCAGGCTTTTAAGCATCAATGGCCTAAGCGAGGTAAGGAAACACCAGATGAGGCAATTCAAGACGAACGCAGCAGGCAGACAACAAGCAGGCCAGGTGAGGTGAGAGTGGGCTAAGTGGCTCAAACAAATAAGCGTATCATCGGATTGAAATGGCTTTAGAGGAAAAAGTGAGGAAGAGCAACAATCAAAGCAAAGGAAACTGAAAGATCAGTGGAAGTGCCAAACATGAGTCAGTCGCAGCTGTCAGAAAACAGGCGAGAGAGCTCAGACGAGACTGGATTAGGCAGAAAGAAGAGACTATTCGGGCCAGCAGATGTGGGGGTGACATTTGAGGACGCAAGCAGAGATTTAGGACACAACATCTGAGACAAAGTTTAGGAAAAGCCACATACCAAGGTCAGCGAGACGAAAGGTGTAATGAATCTGTTGTGACGCCCAGTACGCCTTCGCCCCACGACCGCAAGAAGAATCCAAGATGAGCCGGGATGAACAGATTTTCTATTACAGCACGGCACCATTTATATAGCTTTACAAACAAGGGCGAAGTCAAGCTACTAAACGCATGAGGTCCAACAGGCATGGAGAAAACACAAAATGGAACAAGCAAATGAGAATCGCCAAAATTATGAGCCAATGAAGTACGGCAAAGAAAATAGTGTCTGCGGAGTAAATCCGTGGGGGTAACCTTCTGGTGAGCGACCATTAAAAACGACGAGTAGCGTCCAATCAGTGTGGAGAAGTGATGCGTTTAAACAAATGCCAGAACAGTTGATAGTGGGAATGATACAAACCAGGAAAATAAAAACAGGTATAATAATTATGTGTCGGCTGAATAATACATCCACGTGAAAAGCTAAGGAACGCTGAGCAAAAGAAACCAATCAGAATGTCCACAGAATGAGACGGCTGAAATGAGCTGTGAGCGATTGCGAATGAGGATGAGGAAAGCGGCGTGTCCAAAATGTAGCACAGAAGCAGATAACTGCGCAAACAAAGAAATAGGCAACTAACATAATTCATGAAACTGAGGGTTAAGTAGCCAGCTCCCTGACAGAATCAAGTGTTACTGAGCTAATCCAAGGCAGCATGTATAGATTCAAAACGTAAGGTTGAGGCGGGATCCAGAACAGAGTGATCAAACAGGTTAGCATAGGCTCACGATGATAGCGCTGGAAACGTAGTGTGAAAGAGCCTTAGCCTGTTTAAGGTTAGCAAAAGGTTTCCATGGGTGAATCTGCTGTAAACTAGGCTTTCAAGCCTTAATGGTCCAAGCGAGGTAAGGAAATATCAAAGAAAAGTCAGGCAAAGCGAGACGAACGCATAAGGCAATCAACAAGCAAGCCAGATGAGGATAGAGTGAGATAATTGGTTCAAACATATAAGCGTGTCATCTGCTCGTAATGGCTTTAGAGGAAAAAATGAGGAAGAGTAACAATCAGAGCAAAGGAGAATGAAAAATCAGTGGAAGTGCCAAACATGAGTCAGGATACCTCAGTAGCCCAGCAGCTGTCAGAAAACAGACGAGACTGGATTAAGCAGAAAGAAGAGACTATTCGGACCGGCAGAAGTGGGGGAGACATTAAAGAAGAAAGCAAACATTCAGAACACAACATCTGAGACACAGTTTGGGAAAAGCCATATATCAAGGTCAGCGAGACGAAAGATGTGATGAACAGTTGTTACTGAGCTAATCCAAGGCAGCATGCGTAGATTCATAAGATCAGGGTGAGGCAGGATCAAGAACAGAGTAAACAGACAGGTTTGCATAGGCTCACAATGATAGGGCTTGGAAAGGTAGCGTGAGAGCCTTAGCCTGGTTAAGGTTAAAAGAATATCTCTGGTGAATCTGCTGTAAACCAGGCTTTTAAGCCTCAATGGTCTAATCGAGGTAAGGAAACGTCAAATGCAGGTGAGACAATTCGGGACGAACTCGTCAAGAAGGCCAGCTAAAATGAGAGTGGGCTAAGTGACTCAGACAAATAAGCGTATCATCGGATTGAAATGGTTTTAGAGGAAAAAGTGATGAGGGCAACAATCAGAGCAAAGGAGAATAAAAAATCAGTGGAAGTGCCAAACATGAGTCAGTATACCTCTGCGATCCTATTCCATAACATCATCTCGATGTGTCATTCGAACGTCTGACTGCGACAGCTATTTCTGATCTGGACGCATAACATACAATTCAAGTTCAACACGTCAGTCTATAGACAGATGAGCGGAGTTCTTATGGGCTCACCGCTACTAGCAGATGCGTTTTTGAGTAGATTGGAGAATAACTGCCTGAGCGATGTTATTTATAACTCAGCCAACAACGGACGTTACGTAGACGATCTTTTTCGCACCGCATTTTGTCATCTGTGTATAAAAGAGCTAGTTACGCAGTTTAATTCGGTTTACGATGAGATGAACTCATCGCTAAAATCGAAGTGCAACAACATAATGTTATTCTTACACCTGATGCGCCGAAGAT